TAGTGGATGCATGAAAAAAGTGGAAAAAAGCAGCCGCCATGTTTATTTGTGGTCAGATGGATGGAAAGGATGGGAAAGATTGCCATAGTTACCATGCTTAATTTAACACACACAGCTGTGTGACTGTAGAGATGATCTTACTGATCAGTTGTTTTGACTGAACTGTGGCAGCCATGTTTGTTTGGCGCTTTCTTATTATGAAGTGTGAAAAGTACAAATCCACCAATGTGTTTTCACAGCCTGGATGTTGACACGGTTGCCCCTGTTTACAAGGGGGACCTAATCACATGACATAAACATGGCTCGAAGCCTCTGCTGCTCAGGTGTAGTTTTGCGGTCCGGACCCACTCCCTAACAGAGCAGGAATGGACCAGGATGGAGAAGACGTCACAAGAAGAGGAAAAACAAGCACAAACAGTTTCTTTATTGAACTTTTAAATTGCATTTGTGTGCATTTCCAGGTTTGTTTGTGCCACAGGCGAGGCTGTCTGTCTGATTCATGTGATTATAAGTTTCCTGCTATCCAGGCTCACCACTTCTAAATACGACTGTGCAATAGAGCAAAGCATTTTCAAGTTTCCACTCAAAGCAAAGCGCAATTATTGTGTGCTTTCGGGTCTCCTTAATATTTGCAGCGAGACGGAAAAGGTAATAATAAGCAATGCTCTAATGGAAAGGCCAAAACAGAGCGGCACTTGTTCTTCTCAGTTTGTTGGTGTCTGACTGCCACACGGCCTCTTTGTTCTCCGCTTTTTTAAGTGACCAAACATCATAAATGCATGACATGCTGCACTGCAACTCAACATGTGGGGACCGTCTCTAGGCACAAACACTCGCTGGAAAATTCACACTTTCCACCACCCTCAGACCAGCAGCTCTTGATTCCTCCCATTTCACTTCGCTGATTTCGTCACAGACGTTTTGATGCTCTTTAAAGTCCCCCTGGAGAGGCAAAGTGTGGTGTGGTGTGCAGCCAAGCAAAAGTTCACTGAGTGACTGTGTCTGATCCTGCTTTATGTCACACTGGAAGGGGTTGGGGGAAGGGGGGGGGGTGGCTTAGGGAGATACTGAAGGAGGATGCTGTGGGAGATTTTCAGAGTGGTCAGCTTGTTTCTGCAGAAGTTGGGGAAGGGGGTGATTACAGCAGCAGAGCTGTGGCTGCTGAGACTCGAGTGCTGTGACGATTAGAGCTGCAGAGCATGTGTGGAGCCTCGGGAGCTAAATCACATGGCATGGTGACACTGGACTGCATCTGATTAAAAGATGTTTTACGGCTTAAATGGCCACACTGCACGTGTCAGCAATAATCTCCTTTTATGAGGGAATACATCACAGGGCAGCGCATTGTGTATCCCTACCTGGGTGGGATTGTTTGTGTTTGCGCTGCAGTCACTTGATGTAAGCCCCTGTAACTGGAGAAGGGGTGTGTGTTTGAACCAATCGTGCCGGGGGTGATTGGGATTTATCTGAGGAAATGAATGTGCCACAATCGTGGACAGGTGCTGTCAGCAGAAATTTATTTGAGTATTATGATCATAACAATGTCTCCTACAGCTGTTTTAGAGGAAAGTAGAGAAAATGCATGTTAAAACATTCTTCCTCTTTTTTTGTCATTTTTTTTGCACATCCCTAAAAGTGAAGTGCTCACACAAATAACAGAACTAAGCTCCCAAAAGTTGATTCTGTTCATCTGGATGTAGAGTTTTCAGTGGGAGAAACGTTTCGTCACTCATCCAAGTGACTTCTTCAGTCTCAGCTGACTGCAGGTTTCTCCAAATCTTATAAACAGTACATTTGCATAATGACTGAAACTATCACCGCTGATGAACAACCACTGATCAATGGCCATTGGTACCATTCACAGAGAGTTGGGGAATGGCTGCAATCACAGCATTGTAAGATGTACCCTTAGGCCCCCTCCTCAATTCAGAGATGGGCTTTCCCTTATCACATAAATGGCCTCCATTTATGTGAAAAGGGATCCTTCAGATCCTTCAAAACTAAGCGTCTGAAGGATCTCTCTACTACAGGACCAGATCAAAAAAGTTAAAGTACCAATACTAAATAATACAAATTATTACAAAATACCCTTACTAATAAAAATAGGTCTAATAAAGAAATACCCAGATTATAACACAAAATTGAAATATAAATAAAGTTGATCATGGTACCCAGATCAAAATGAATTTTTGGCCCAGATGTGCCCCACAGCTGCAGTTTATGGGCCACACTGGCTTCTGCATGTCAGTCACATGCCCACCAAATTTCAGGCCCATACGATACAATGTTCAGCCTGGCTTGCTAATGATTTTGGGCCACATAAATGGCACATGACAATACATCTGCAACACATTGCATTGTCAGATAGTTTAGTCTCTTTCTTGTACTGTATTGGAGCAACTGTAACCCACATAATTTCCTTAGGGATTAATAAAGTATGCTGATTCTGATGACACATGCCATTGCCGTACCTCAGTAATTCCTATTCTTTCAAAACAATTAATACACTAAGACATATATATTAAGATTTCAAATGTTAACTTTATTTCTCTTTATTTCCAAACTAAAGTCCATCAAATACCTTACCTGGAACAGTTTCTTTCTATGCCATTTTCATCACACACTGCTTTTAAGGACATTTCACGTGTTATTTCAGTGCAGTATACGTTTTTGACATGAATCCAAACAGGTTTGTCCCCTATTCTTAAAAGTAATAAAGACACTGAATGAAAAAACTTCACTGACTGCTGTGAGTTAGGCAGTAGTTCACCTCCTACTCCTGACCTTTCCTGGTAGTTTCTCTTGCAGCTTTAACTGTGGATTGCTTAATGTCTCAGGGAAGTAAACTAGAAGATTTTGTGACACTTCACCAGTTTGGCCCAATTAAATATGTTCAGTTAACAATTATCCGTTTGTCTTTGCCATATCATCATGACGGTACAGCTGTCAATAAGTTACTTTGATACTGAAGAAGGATTAAAACATGATATCTGGAGATCTGGAGTTATTGCACATGTCTCATATTTTTTACTGTTTTCCATCTGTTTCATTTCTTAATTATTTTATAATTGATTATCACGTTTTCAGAAATATTTCTAGAGAAAAAAGGGAAAGTGATGATTCTAAGAGAAAAATCTGATTGTTTTGGTGCCACAGTAAAATGTATTTAGTGCAGAAACAAATCCCCATCTCATCACTGTTGCACTGTTGGCAGATGCTGCTCTGTATGAATCTAAGTGGACAGGGAGGCTAATCAAGGTAATGACTAATTACTGACAAAGCTATAGAGTTAATTGGTATTTATTGATCTGTTTTGTTTAAGGGGCCTGAATTGTGCAAAATATTTGTCCTCTCAGATTTTTACAACTGTTTTCATCTTTTTCTCCACTGAGGTTTGTAGGCACACACACACACACAAAAAACCTTTAAATGTTCGAGATGCTTAAAGCAGCCAAATGCATCATAATGGGGTCCTTTGTGCAAAAGTGTCTTCTTTATTTTAAGCTTTTCCCTGACTCTAGGGCAGCTTCTGAATTCCCACAGCGAGTGTCTTAATTGGAACAAGCATGTGGTCCAAGTTATCCTTCCTGCGCAAGAGGAGTGCCAACTAAGCAATGAGAAAAGAACAAGTATAGTGAGCAGTCCCGAGAGCAAAGAAAGGTGCTTTGGAATAAAAGAAAAGAAACCTTCCCTCTCATGAAAGGTTTCCAAGTTCTTGCCCTCAAATGTCTGTTTCTGGGAAAAGCGAAAAACACACAGCCAAGAGAGGGATCATCATCAACGTACGTCTTCTGGTTTCGCATGTCTGGATTCAAATGCTGTGACAATCAGAAAGTAATATTTTTCTATGAATTACATTTAGCTATTACCACAAATCATATGTTTTGGGGGCCGAAGAGCCTGCGGTGAAACAGCTCAGGAAACATATTTAACGTGTTTCTAGCAGCTTGGTGCTTTTATAAGTCGTCCTAATTATATTAGAACTGCTTTTTGACATGTAGATAGAAAATTATAGAGCCTGACTGGTGGAAGATATTATCAGCTGATATATCTGTGGGGGGGGGGGGGGGGGGGAATTCTGAATATAATGAAGGAAAGCATGCTGGTGTTATCATGTAGTTTGAAACATGAAAATCAGAACATTACCTCCCTAAAAATTGGTCCTGCTATTCTGTTTCTGAGACTGTGAGGCTGTAAAATCTGATTTTTCAAATATTCTGGATTTGTGATTTTATACCTGTTTACCTTTTACACAGCAAATCAGTGCATCCATCCATTTGGGTATTTATATGGATACTGATCCCAAATGCAGCAGTATTATCAGAGACACCAGACCAGTGACGTTCCAACCTCCCTCTCCCCGGCCAAAGCTGAGGGGCTGGGGGACACTGCCGAAGCCAGTATACAGATATGACTTCTTTAGCGTGTCCTGGGCCTCCTCCTAGCAGGAAATGCCAAGGTGTCCAAGAGGCAACCTAGTCAGATGCTCAAACCACCTAATCCAGTTCTTTATTACGTGGAGAATTAATGGCTCTACTATCAGCTCCTCCCAAATGTGTGGGCTAATGATCCTACAACCAAGCTCCTCGTTCTACTTTACTAAAAATTAAAATCAGTGCACTTTGATTTTTGCTTGTAGTATTTTGCAACTTTGTTTACCGGAGATTTAATACGGAATTTTACCTTTAGAGCTAAGATCTAACTGATGCTTAAGCTTAATTACGTGTAATTAAGTAACATCACTTTGGAGTTAACGCATAGCTCATTTTATTTATCGGTTATGGTTTCAAAAGTTTTCCACATATTTAGTCACAGGAAAAGATAATGTGCATTTAAACAGAAAAAGTCAGGTTTCTATTTCATGTATTTTCACCATCACTCATGGTGAAGCTATTTCCAATAGAACAAAAGTGTTAATGTTATGTATCTGAAGAGGGCGCTCTCACAGTTCAATCACCTGAGTCTAGGGGAAAGGTGAGCGATGGGACAGAAGTGGAGTCTACAGATTTTTCTTAATTGAAAGAAATGCACGAGGAGGAAAAGAAGTAAGACGGACACTAAAAATAGAGCCAGTCTGTACTTCTGTACAGCCAAAGTCTGCTGTGTCTATTGCTCCATCTTTCATAAAAACAAGCCCCTCTGAGTGAAAGTCCCTTTTGTCCACCGGGGAGCCTTCAGTCGACAAATGCGTCATCCTGAACCTCCAAAGTATTTCTGCTCGCAATATTTTCCCACGTCACTCAAATACCTGCCTGTGTCCGCGACAGCTCGCTGGGTTTGCCTCCCCAGCTTCTGCACACGCGGAGCATCAAACAGAAGAAGAAGGGTCATTGGCTCTGAGGAGTTGATGACGGCGAGAGCGCACTCTTCTCCAGGAGCGCATTTTTAGCCTTTATTTGTCTGACTAACGCTCTGCATCTCCGTCCTGTGGGATGACATTACAGTGCAAGGACTGAGATTCGTATTTATGCGGTCACTTTGTTTGCTAGTATTTATTTTTGCTTAATTTTGGAGGCGGAGAGCGCGTTTACTGTCCAGAAGCGCGCGGCGTGGCACACGCTGGAACAAAAAAACAGCTCAGTGCAGCGCAGGCAGGTTTCCCTTTTAAAAGCAGCAGGACAGGCAGGAGAGTTACGGAGTCTTCTCGGGGAAGCGGTGTCTGTGCGTGACAGAGACGGACTCTAAAAGAAGACGAAGAAGAAGAAAAAAATCGGGATACTGAGCAGAAATCGGCAGCGGGAACTTGGATATGGCGCCTGTGAAGACGTTCGACCTTTTTGTTGGAGTTGTTTTAGTTTCGCAGTGTGTGTGGAATGTGCAAGCCGAGATCACAGCCAGTAACGGTAAGAAGACCGCGTTAGCCATCAGGCATTAACCTGCTAGGACCGAGTTGAGATCTGTGCCTTAAAGAGCCAAGTTCGTGCATAAGTCTCCTCTGCAAAGCGTGCAGGAGAAATGATGCAGACACAGGTGGACTGCTGGTTAGCCTCTGCGTGAGATTGTTTTACGCGCAGAATTCATTGTTTGCTGCTGCAGAGATCCACTTGTGTGTTTTAAAAAAAGAGTGGACAAACATCCTGTCTCCTTTTTATTTTAAGAATTCATTAGCCTAAAGAAGGCTGTCATGACCCACTAACTTACTCCCTTTCGAGTAGACTTGATCTGATGCTAATTATCATAATTTCCCAACTACTACAAGGTTCACTTAATGGCTTTGCTTTTCCTGCATGTTCTTATGCACTGCCTCCGAGCTCGGCTGATTTTTTGTGTTTTCGCATTAATTCAGCTTGTGCAGAAGCACAACAAGCTTCCTCTTCCTTGTTCTTCCCACTCTGACATGTAAGGTGGAAGTGTCAACCATGTGCAACTTTTCACAGCTCTTACTTTTATTTAAGGTTCAGGTTGGATACCTAGATGTTCATCCTGTTGATGTCCTTGATTGTAAGACAAAGTCCATACTGGAGAATCAGGATTCCTGTGCAAACAATATCCCTACCGTAGTCCACCTGAACCCCCCCCCAACAAACACACACAAACACACACACACACACACAAATCTGTAATCTCAGCCCATCCCACGTCAGTTTGCCCTCGGTGGGAGAAGTTCGTGCCAGCATCGGTTCTGTTCGCGCTGGCCAGCTCGTGTTTCCCAGGGCTTTTTTATTGCTGGCAGCAGATCTTCATCACGTATCAGATAGTGGTTAGAGAAATGTTCAACTGCTGACAGTGACTGTAAATTCAACTCGCATGTGTGTGTGAGTGCAGACCACAGGGCTGTTTGGCCCTGTTTGGGAGAGAGAGAGAGCACGATGCTATCAGCTGCGTGTGTGGTGGTTTGCACAGGGGCATGCACGTGCTGCTCGTGTTTTTTACACTCTCACACAGTCTCATTTACGAATCCTGCCACACTCCAGGCTCAGAGCTTAGATTAAATTGTCGGCTCATTTCCTTCGCCTGGTATTAAAGCTTGTTTTAGAGGTAGACAGATTACAGGAATGCCCACCAAACCAGCGCTACACTCGGAGTCCTTCATCAGTCCATCTCCTGCTTGAGCTGGATGCAGCAAAACTGTATGTGGGACGGTATTTTTAGATATCTGGGTGAGGTGCTTCCCTTGCCGTGGGCTGACCTCAAATCCGCTGGAAGGAGCAACCCCTGCCCTTCTTTAGATAGGCCTGTATTAACAGAGTGCAGGTGGACTCTTCCACTCTCTGTAGGTCCTCTGGGATGATATAATGCACCATTCACATTTAGAAAAGCTCGCAGGCCCTCTGAAAGTGGCTGAGCAACTCCACTAGAAGCTGAGATCACAGCAATGGTGGAAACATTCCCTTCTTCTTTATTAGTTAGATGACTTGTGGAACACATCTGGGCGAAATTACACAACATCCTGTGAGTGCATTAGGATTTGTTTTTTTTTAAAAGCTTTCAGTCTGTGGCTCTGGATGTTCACCCAGAGATACACTCAACAGGGGCACTCTCAGAAAATTGACACTGATTTTGGGGTTAATTTTCACTCTGCTGCTTTTCTCGGAGTGGAAAAAGAGATGTTCCACCAGAGCCTGGAGAGTATCTGCATGTGCGATAGGGGAATAAGAAGGAGAGCGTGAGAGAGAGTCTTGACTCATGTAATGATGTGGTCTGATTTAAAAGCCTTTGCTGAAGGCTGTTAATGTGCTAAGATTGCGGTTGTGTGTGGAATTTCATTTCGTTGCGGATGCTGGGAGTGGGGTTTCTTCACGGGCTGGAAGAGGCTGATAGAGGGTTAAAAAGCTTACAGGCTGCAGCGACTGTGGACGTCTCCAGCTCCAACATGACGCTCCTCATCCATCACGCTGCCAGCAGCTGCCTTTGCAGTCCTACAGGCGCACACTCAGAGGCACATTAAAATGAGAGCTGTGAAGAAAAATGCATGCTGGCCATCAAAGACTTTCATGCCTTGGTTTTATTCTTGTGGGTAAAATACCTAGCTATGTTCCTAGCTAACAAACCGCATATCATAGCTTTTATTGACGACCTCTGTGTCCAGACTCTGGACTCCAGAGTCACATGTTTCTTTCTCTCTGTCTCAGACACAAAACAGAGATTACAAGTTTGAACATGCGAGATCTCGGGCACATCAGGTGCTTTAAAATCCACCTGTTTTAAGTCCTTTTCAGTCTGTGCATAAACAGAGGTGAAGAAAAAACCTTTAATTCTGGGCTCAGGAGGGAAAGTTGGAGTATCAACAGTATAAACAAAGTCCAGTGGAAGCAGAATAAAGTTGAAACTTTGGAGATAAAATGATGACAGATGAGCCTTCTCTTATTTATTCCAGTATTGGAATTTAGTCAAAGTCATCAGAGGTATATGCACAAAACTCTCCTTGATGCCATTACGCTGTGGGTCAGGGCAGGTCTCACCTCCAACATGTGCTTTTTTAGGACCCTGTGGCATCACAATTGCACATGCTACTGTTAACAGAGGATTTATACTACTGTGTTAAATCTGCGCTGTAGGCTATGTCATAAACACAGACCCCTTTGAAACCTTACGATGTGAGCTATGCCACGATGCACACCACAGTGGAAATGTACTGTAGGTGTTTGGCATGGTCAGTGCTGTCAGTTCCTTCCGTGCATATCCAACTTATTTTTTTGCCACAGGTTTTAAATTCACCAGTAAGAAAATAACATCGCCTCAATATGAAGACACATTTATCAGCAGATTGCTGGAGGGAGATTGCCGAAACTATTGGAAGATAACTGCCTTGAGGCGACTGTTGTTGTGACTTGACGCTATGTAAATAAAACTGAATTGAGTTAAGCTGAACTGAATATGGGGGAATATACAAAGAACTGAAAAATGGAAGGACTCTGAAAAAAAGAACATTGACTAAAACAAAAATAAAGGGCCCAGGAGGGAAAAACAAACAAGTAGAAAAAAATACCCCAAAGGATATTCTTTATTTCTGGTACCACATGAAACACTAGGACATGACCACAAGGTAATTAACAGCACGCACAAGCATGAATGCTGGGTAGGGTAAAGATTCACCACAGCCCAAGTCCAAATTGGTACAAAGATGCAAAGCAGGTTTAATGTTGAGAAGGATGATTCATATTTTGAATTTATTTCATTTATTTCATCACCCCAATCTTTTTCTGAGCCTAATCAAGAAGTTTTTCGCCCCTAAACCAGACGCTAATTAAACTGGAAGCAAAGACTGAGCTAAAATGACAACAGTGTGTAAAAGCGGTGTTGCTGTGGCCACAATCTTGTGACAGATTGTCATTATTTGATGCCTGTGGCCACTACTAAGTTGTGTCTTACAACACTAGTAATGCAAATTCCTTTGCATTTGCAGTGTTGCTACATTTCCCTCTTCTCTTCGTCATGCTTCGGAGGTGATTCCCAACACAAACTGCCTGCTGATTCAAAGCAGGAGATTCCAGCTCGGTCTTCTTTAGTTGTTCTCCTTCTTTAAGCCTCCTCGGAATCTCGCCCCCACCATTTCTCCCTTTTTCTGACATTGCACATTTCAGAACGGACAGAATGAGCTAGCTTCTTTACCGGCCCCACTGAATGACCTGCTGAAAGGAGCTGCTATGAATGGATGAAGGGGGTGGGGGTGGTCTGAGGGGTTGACAGACAGGGAGGGGCGGCGACGGCGGCTGGGTTTATTGTGCTGCCCTCTATGTGGCAACAGCGGGCCATGGCATATCGTCCCACCCACCCCCGCTTAGTAGCATCCAACAGCAGCACCAGGTTCTTGCATTAGTCACGCCTGACCCTTGTCGCTCAGCCCTCCGCCCCTTTTAGTCCGAGGAGAAGCTCACGCTGATGGCTTTAGAGGGCTGGAGAGCCACACGGAGTTCAATAGGCTCAGAAACAAAAAGCAAAGAGGCCACTAGTTAATGAAGCCCAGTGCAGTTAAGCTACTCTTTAAGCTTTTTTCTTATTGGTTCAAAAGTTCCTTTACATCCAGTTGTTAAAACATGCTGCCTGAGCTATCACATAGTTTTAGTGATTACTGCTAGGCAAGAATCATGTCTGTAGAGTAAGCTTGAAACGGTCAGATGGAGGACCAGGAGATTTGTGATGGTTGAAGCTATGCAAATTTGGATGTCAGTGAAAGATGACAAGCATTTTCCAATCATCAGAAACATCCCCTCTCTGCAGATGATTGCAGCCAGTAGACCACAGTAAGGCTGTTATCTGCTCCTCCCTTAGACTCAGCTGAGGGATGTAAGAAATAGATCATAAGCTGAGGAGTGGAACAAGCACAATAGTTTTCATTTTGGGTAGGAGGAGTTGTGTTTTGCATTGGGAAACATTTGAGAGGATAACCGAGAAAGGGCGGAGGCCTAGAAAACAGGCACTTGCCCATCTTTTCTGACCGTCATAGTGAAAGAAGAGACAATAACAGCAGAACAATATCAAAATATGGGACTCTAAAGTGTAGTGAGTGATGATTAATAGCTGAGATTATAGGAAGGAAAAATAAAGGGTAGCAATAAAGGAAAACAGTTCCCCTGGGCACTCTTCTGCAGTTACATATTGTCAAACTAATGTTCTGCTCAGACGTCCAACAATCATTTACAAGTGACTAAGTGTTTGCATGCCTCATTTGCTTCTGGATCAGTTTATTTTCCCAAAAATCTAAACATGCTGCAGTCCATGCACTGAATTTCTGAGAGGAAGAAGTTTGTATATGATAAAAAACAAAGTGCAACAGGAACAGAATGAATCACAGCGTGATTGGAAACTTTAGAGATGAAAAGTTGTGGAAAAAAGTCTTTTCTTATTCATAAGGCATAAAATATTGATGTTTTGTTAAATTTGGCACATTTAAATGCACTTA